CGGGGACCTGCTGGGTGCATGGGGACCTTGGGGACCTCCTGAGGGACCTGCTGGGTGCATGGGGACCTGAGGGACCTTGGGGACCTGCTGGGTGCATGGGGAGTCCAGTGCACTGGGGTGCTGCGTCCCCACGGCATGGGTGCCACGGGGACATGGGGACCTCCTGGGGAACGTGGGGACCTTGGGGACCTCCTGGGGTGCTGGGGTGCCCTCCGGGGTGGGCATGGGAACCTGGGGGCCCTCCTGGGGCACAAGGGGACCCGGCGGACCTTGGGGACCTCCTGGGGCACATGGGGACCTGCCGGGGTGCTTGGGTGTCTTCCAGGGTACCTGGGCATGTGGGTGCCATCCTAGGGTGCTCTCTGGGCACCCAGGTGTCCTCTGGGGTGTCTGGGTGCCCTCCCGGGGTGCGCAGGGACCATGGGGCTGCCCTGGGCATTTGGGTGCCCTGCCTGGGTACCTGGGCATCCTCTTGGGTGCATGGGCACGTGGGTGCCCTCCTGGGGTGCTGAGGGCCCCTGGGTGCTCCCTTGGGTGCATGGGGATGTGGGTGCCCTCCTGGGGTGCTGAGGGCCCCTGGGTGCTCCCTTGGGTGCATGGGGATGTGGGTGCCCTCCTTGGGGTGCTTGGGTGCTCTGCTGGGTGCACGGGGACCTTCATGGGGGTGTCCTGCTGGGGTGACAGGGACGCGGGTGACACGGGGGTACCCAGGGGTGCGGATACCGGCCCCAGGGGGGTGCCTGGGGATGTGGGTGCCGGGGGGGGCACCCGGGGGTGCCGTGGGCACCCATGGGTGACGTGCCGGGCGCCGCAGAACTTCTCGCAGCTGAGCTGCGAGCTGGAGCGGGCCAACGGCTCCAGCGCCCTCGTCTGCGACCTGGGCAACCCCATGAAGGCGGGCGCCAGCGTGAGTGCGGCGAGGGGCACCCATGGGTGCTGCGGGGGGGGKSGGGGGGGGGACCCGGTGCTCAGCACCCACCCTGCACCCCCAGATCTGGGGGGGGCTGCGCTTCACCCTGCCCCACGTCAGCGACAGCAGCAAGAGCGTCCGCTTCGAGCTGCAGATCCGCAGGTGCCGGGGGCACCCAAGGGTGCTGGGGAGGGGGCGTGCATGGAGTGGGGGCACCCAAGGGTGCTGCGAGAGTGCGGGGGGGGGTCCTTGGGGTGCAGGTTGGTCCTGGGAGAGGGGGTGATGGAGGGACCCTGGGGGGGCTTGCTGGGGTACCCCGGGGTGAGGGCACCCATGGGTGCAGAGTGTGGGGGTGCCCGGGGGGGCGGATGGAGTGAAGGGGTCCTGGGCTGGAGGGGGGTCCCCGGGGGTGTCCCCAGGGCCCTGGTGGTCGGTGGCAGTGCCGGGGCCCTGCGGTGCCACTGGGTCCCTGTGGTGGCACCGGGTCCTCACGGTGCTGCATGACCCCGTGGTGCCACTTGTCCCCATGGGGCGCGTGTCCCTGCGGTGCCTCCGTGTCCCGCGGTGCCACCGTGTCCCGCGGTGCCACCGTGTCCCGCGGTGCCTCCGTGTCCCCGCGGTGCCACCCTGTCCCGCGGTGCCACCGTGTCCCCGGTGTGCCTCCGTGTCCCCCCGGTGCCTCCGTGTCCCCGCGGTGCCACCCTGTCCCGCGGTGACGCCGTGTCCCCGCAGCTCCAACGCCAACGGCTCGCGCAGCGCCCCGGTGGCCCTGGCGCTGGCCGTGCGCGCGGCCGCCCGCCTGTCCTCGCACGGGTGAGTCCCCAACTGTCACCCCGTGTCCCCAACTGCCCCCCCGTGTCCCCAACTGCCACCCCTGTGTGTCCCCAACTACCCCCCGTGTCCCCAACTGCCCCCCCTGTGTCCAACTGCCCCCCATGTCCCCCCCCGCAGGGTGTC